GTCGTGGTGCCCGGATGACTGACGGACGACGACGGCATTCACGGTCCGCGCGATCCATCATCCCTGTAGTAGTCCAGTCGCAGGTTGCCTCGTGCTTCAGTGCCCTCCAACTGAGGCACAGCTCCTCGGTCGCCGTCTCTCGACAGACACGTTTCCATTCAACCCAGCCAGTACAGCCATATCCATATGGCTAGCGCAACCTGAAACATCTCGTCTTTCGCACTACGCAACTCCGTTTGACGCCATACAAAACACAGTACCGCGAACCTCATAGCACTTAGGCTAAACCGAGCACTAGTGGGTGAGTAAAAACGCTCCAAGAACTAGCGAATGCCACTCAGAGTGGCTATCATTTTACTGGTGTACTGCTACTTTCGCTTCAACCCTTTCTTGTCTCAGTTCTTAGTAATTGCCAGCGTTGTATATTGCTGCCATTAAGGCTCTTTCTTCCAAATGCACGTGATGGGTTTGGGCACTATGATATTGTTAAACCTCAAAATTCGTTTATCTAACGCTGTTCAGTCCTCGTCGTTTCTCAATTCTTATTCGTGCACAATTCTCACTGCAAATTAATGACGCCGACTCTGTAAATTAAAGTTTGTCTAGGCTAAAGACAAAAAATCGAGTAACGGCTATTAACTCACACAATGCTATTCGTAAGTCTTCTGTATTGTTCGTCATTCATAGTTTCATGCGTAGGAATCATGATATGTCAGGAAGGGTTCTGATCCCCCACCCTCAAACTCTTGGAACAAGGAGTGCCTACTTGAGTAGGATAACCTGCTAATAAGGTGCCGACGAGGAAACCAGCTAGCGTTCCGGCTACACGAAGTTACCTAGCTAAGATATGAACATTTGCTCAAGTAATCAGGGGTAGGCGGATGAGCACCATGGCGTATCAACGGATCCATTGAACCTTCTAACTCATCTTCCCTCTCAGATGAAATGCTCTATGAAAATAGAGTACCAGGCACAAAATGATTTTCTCATTGCTATGGACCATATTTTGATGGCGTTTGGCTAATATCCACTTAGCGTGTTTGTTGTTGTAGGAGCAGTAAACTTTATTTCAGTTGCTCATATAAAAGGCAGGGCTCGAAAACGAAATAACTTTCATTAGCGAGCTATATTTCCTTAGAATCGGGCAGCTGAGAACAGGGTCTACTTCTTATACCGGTTTTATTACCATACTCGAGTACCTCCTCCGCGAATATTCATTTAATACGACTTAAGTGTTCATCGCCTAGGTAGAATCTAATACTCTTACCACGACAGAAAAGCGAATTATTGTATACCTTAATAAGGGTCTACTGGACGAAAGAAACATTCTTACAGATCCCTTCGCTTCATGTTTCTTGAAGACGACAAATTCGAGCCGCTTGTCGAGCGAGTAGCAGGGTACTGTTTCCAACCGCACCTATTTAGTATTGATTAATGAACTGCTAAACCGGTGCATCTCTTTTATTGTCTCCGTTATGTATATAGGCGCGATTATGATATTAAACATCTCTATGCTCATTTAGTCCATGTAAATGATGAGTTCTGTCTTAATTGGCTGGATCGTTTGGTTTGATTGAGCGAAGGAATCATAAATAGTCTGAACTGATTGCATCGACCTATGATATACTGTCAGAATAATATTCACCTATCTGTAGTGATCTCATTCTGAGTAATTCAGTACAGATTGAAAGCTGCGCATAAAAGCAGCTTCGACTAAAAATAAAACAATGAATTAAACCAAAATAGTTTTAATTAACATTTCACAGGTCACTGCTTCGAATGACGACTTCGCTCTTCCCAAAATGATGCGTTAATTGATTTATTTTCATGATTTGTTCTAAATGTACTACATTTTGAATAGGATGCCAAAGGAGAATTTCGGACACAGATCTTCTTCACAAGGACGTATGATATGCAGCCAAAATGCAGTGCGAGGACCCGATGACTCACGTGTATTGATTATCCGGCTTTGCCACGCGTTGAAATTTTCAGCCTGTAACGCTTATCCAATTGGCAAAAAGTCTGACCCATTGATGAAAGTCCCTGAAATCACTGCTCTCGTAATCTGAAAGGCACAGTAGCCTCAGAAACAGAAGGAAGGATGATGTCCAACGTTTGATATTGCATGTGGTTTTTGCCCATATTTTCTTCTTTGCTACTTTCTGCGAAGAAACACTGAGTAATTACTGAACTCATCAGTATCGTGCTTCACATCTTCAATCAATATCCAGGACTTTTTACCAGTTCGGCATTTCGGATTTCATGTTCTCTTCCAAGAGAACCTATCATTTCCAACTGTCTGATTCAATAATCATCACCAGCAGCCTCTTTCGATCTACTGCCAGATGAATGTCACTCCAAGACTTTGATATAAATTTATATTTCTAAAAACCTCATCTATCTTGATCTAATTAACTTCTTAAACTCATCCTGCCATCAGTCTTGAGTATTCAAACGGTAGGCTACTGTCTTTTACAAGCCAGTCCAATGTCTCTTTGGTTAATCAAAAGCTGGTGTCCTCTCTTTGTGAGGTTTCCTGCATATTGCCATTTTGACCCCTTCATTTATGCAATGACTTTGAAAATTTTTATTCGTTCCCTTATCCACTTATTTGCCTTCCTATTTTTTTACAATTCCAAGCATATAGCTCACGATGCTGCGCTGCGTGTCTGCAGTCTAAGAAGTTTCCAGGCTTAGGGCACACGCTTGGCATCCATATCTTGACACTGGGAGAATGTACTGATAGAACACTTCAGTAATAGGTACAGAGTCAGATCCTCAGACAAAAACATTTTCAATCATCCAATGATGCTACAAGCCACATTTTCTCATTGTTGCCTTTAGGGTTAGCTCCCTGTTGCAAAGGTCAGTTGTTTCATGCAAATTTAGTTTTGCATCTTTTCAAGCATAGGTTCACTGATTTCAGTGGTTAGCGGGGTCACATACTTGTTAAGCATGACGTGTGTCTTCATCGAATTCATTTTCAGTCCTACTTTGCTGTTGGCGTTGTTCAGTGCGTAGATTCTTCTCTGGAGTTCTTCTGGCAACCTTGAGTAGATCAGGATATCATCCTCAAACCGCAGGTGGCTTAAAGAGTATCCACCTATGCTCAACCCCTCCTTTCCCAGCAGGATGTCCTGATGGCCTGTGCTACCGCTGCCATGAACATGTTTGGTGACACTGCATTACCCGTCAGATGCTGTTTAACGACTGTGAACTCGGATCTGCCTTAGTGAAGCTTCACAGAATCAGCTGCGTTCATATAACTCAAAGCGGTGAGGTCTCAGCATTTTTCCTCGATGCATCAATACAGTTATAATGTACTCTGAGTTGAAATACTTCCTTAAATCGATGAGTCCCAGGTAGAAGAGAAGCTGAATTTCATTGCTTGTCTGAATCACTTGACGTACCACTTGAAGACGATCCATCGTACTAAATCCACTTCTCAATTTTGCTTCTTCCATTGGCTCTGTAGAATCTAATTTTTTTCCTGAAGTCCTTCGGTCAGTTCTTACCCGAGGATCTTGCAAACTGTCAGTGCATGATTACTGTATGGGTGCATTGCAATTCTTAGCAGCACAACGCAACATTCCAGATTACTGCACTTTTGAGCATGATCTAGAAACAGTACCGGAAATGACAGTGTGCAGGAGGCGGGAATACGGTCGTTGAAAGCCTTTGCCGTGCGAGCCCTGCTGTCCAAATGTTGAGCAATCACGCGTAGGTTCCTTCCAAATTCGTTAGGTTCCATCATCGGCAGCTGCTGCGCTTGTTTCGCTTTGTTACTTTTTCGCACTTTCTTGTCCACCGCTGTGTGCGAACGATTGGCTCCGCCGTCATTTCCTGAAACACAGATCGAAGTGAACGCAGTGAATGTCTGTTTAACTCATTGTTTTCAAATCGAAACAGAACATGATGCGATGAATGCTCAGCTACTTCCTCAGCTATTATAAACGCCGGCAGAAAATAACCGAACTATCCTCAGTCAAAGGCACAGAGAAGTAGAACTCCTTCGAAGGCTCAGCTAGCGATCTTCATGAAGTACTCGAACGTCACTGTCTTTATCGGCTGCTAGCTACTGCACTCTGTGTCCGATTGCTTACATCCAACAGCAGAGACTAGCGGATGTCCAACTGTACAATGCCCAGCATACGTTAATAGATCCAGCCCATTTTCTGGCTATTCTGGTCATTCTACTTGAGTTCCAACTGCTTATTCGATTTCGATGAATATTTCATCAGTGTCTTTGCATCTGGTAGCATTTTCGGTACTTTATGGCTAACAGTCAGGGAAATTTGGTAGCGTCTACATTTAAAGTACAATGGCCTCAACACATTGATGAATTTTCACCCGTCCAACAGGGATGGGCACAGGAGGACTTCATCGTCTATTCGTAAGTTAAACTTTAACGATCCTCTCCGATGCAATTGAAAGGTCTGCGTTTCTATGTTATGCCCGTCTGCTGCATTGACAAGATGGTCCTGTCCTGATCTATCTGTTTCTAGCTCTTTGCAATGACGAGCATGGATGGCAGGGGTTGCGGTATAATCAGTGGATGTGCCACAAATTTCTTACATTTATTTTTGACAGCGGACAACCAGAAGGTGACGTATTCAGTACTCTCCTGTGGCAAAGATGATGTTGTAAAACAGTGCCAAAGAGGTCGCTTTCGAACTCAGACAGTGTCGAATTCAATTCTGAGGGAAGAGCAGTTTGTCCTAACCATGAATTTACCCAACATTGTCGCAGAACGAGGTTGCTCAGTCAGTCGACTGAGCATCGAGTTCAGAATCTAGTGGTCCTGGTTCGAACCCCAGTAGGTTCAAAGCCTTAACTAGTCTTTCTTCTGAGGTTGAAGTATCAGTACAACTCAGTTAGAAGAAAGCAGGAAACCATATATTATGTTTGTCACGTAGCTGATGTCGACACTGCATTTAAAATATAACTCTCCTGGTTGGTGGCATAGAAATGGAGATCAGCGCCCCCACCATTGGTTTCTTGAAAAAAGGGTGGCAGAATGATCCCTTCATGAATATGTATGGAAGACCCACATTCTAACGGTTGCTAGTTTTCCCTTTCGTCCTCTACGGCAAGCAGTAAATACAATGAATCTGTACGACGTTGTCTTGGCGTGGCGTTGTTTTTTATATTTTTATATGTCGTTTAAACATAGCTGTGCAATGAAATTGAACCTCTAGGAGATATGAAAGGCATTTGGGAAGATCGAA